TTGTCTGGGCTGAAGCAGCCCAACGTTTCTTTAACTCGATCTGCACCGGAGATAGTTGCCACGGATGGCTCTGCGGTAAAATTTGTTCCCCGGAACGGCTTGAACTGATTTCCTTTACAGGCTACTGGGGAACAAACCGCAGAGCCATCCGTGGCAACTAACTCCTCCGCCCCCGCTTCCCATTGCAACCGCGCACCATCCGACCACCTTGCGCAAATTCAGCAGACGAATCTTCCCGAAGGAGACAAGTCGACCCAATTCTAGACAATTCGACTAAGCCGCAGCAATCGCGCTTTCCGGGCGCGTGGCCGCAGAAGTGCGCATGCCCCGGGCGCTCACCAACTGCGTCGCGCGTGCGCGTAAAACTACGAAAGAGCTACAAGGCCGTCTCGCTCAGCGCATGGTGATTCAGAAACCCATCTCAAGCTACGCGCCGCGCCCCGTGAATAGAACCTATGGCAAAACCCCCCTCAAGTGAGCATCGATTTCGAGGCAAGTGCCAGTGTTCCTCCGCGCTTGAAGGTTCTGACACGGATACAGCCTACGCTGAGCGCCAAGTCCTTTGAGACGCTGGGGCAGCCTTGTCCTGGACCAAGGAGATTCGGCAGGTTCTGCTCCCAGAGTACCCGGTGGTTCATACTCCCGCTTCGCGGTCCACGCATGTGAAGCAACCCGCAACGAAGTCATCGCCGCCTCAGACGCCTCGAACCTCAAAACAGACGATGTCCCCAGAGACGGTGAAGTCCAGCTCCCGACATGCAACGAAAGCGACTCTGCATCGGATGCTCCCTTCAACGTCAACCAATCAAGCCGTCCAATCCCGATATACGTATGCGCCGAAATTCAACGCTCGGGCCAAATTTTGATCCACCTCGCTGTGTGTTCTTTCTACAAGCCTCGATCTATCGATCTCTCCTCTAGATTGCTTCTCGGTGGCCGCACTGCAATTTTTATATACTCTGTTCTGACTCGGATCTTGAATTTATACTCGCATTCATCCTCTCAATTTCAACTTGTCAATTTCCTGCCGCAATATCTCTTCTCCCTCATGTTGTTGAAATTATCTCCCAGTCAAACAAGCCGATTGGGACCGCGTATGGACTCTGTGCGCTATATCAACGACCCCGCGGCGAATTGCTCCTGGATGCATGTCGGCGAGGACGGTGACCCCCACGTTCAAGGTAAGCATACGCACATTTCCTCAGCTACTCATCTCTCTGCCTGTTGCAGGTTTCACCAATCAGTCAAGGCCGCCGTCGTACCCATCATCTCCCCCAGGGTATAGGCGGGTTTTATCCAGGTCATGTTGTTCACTTGATGAACTGAACCTGCCGGGTCCTGCCAGGACTCTTCCTCAAAGCTTATCACCGCCGCACACACCTTCAAGCCGACTACGGCATCTATTCGGTAAGTTCATCTCCGCCAAAACCATCCCGTACCCCGAATTCAACCCGGCCGCTGAACGGGAGGAGTTGACTTTGGATTTAGCTCCAGCTCTTTATCCCACACTCCGCATTCGAAGATGCTATCGAAGTCTCCCTTCAAGCCAAATCTCCTACGTGCGCTGGGGATGGAACGAATAGACGCGGTTGAAACCGGGAACCAGTACTATTTGGCTGGCTGACATGTTTGACGTTGGCATAATCTCTCTGCGAATCATTCAATCATTCTAGACGCCGCCCCGCACATGTTCTTTCAATATCTTGATCTCCCATCCTCGCCGTCTTCTCTGTGTCAACCATCCCCTCTGCTTGCATAGGCCTCGAACCTGTATGCACATTCAAATCAGCTCCAGGCTCGGCCGCCCCAGTCTCCCTCCATAATCCTCTCCGCCGTGATGTTCTACACGACGGTCAAATGTCTGGCATTGCGTTTTGAAATTCAACACACGCAAAATTTATACTCCCCCTCGATCTGCCGTGTAATGGATCTACTACCTTGAATATTCCGACACACCAACCGCCAGACCTCTCCCAGATTCCCAAAGCAAAGATTTTCTTGCGACCGCCCGGGTTGAATCACCGTCCTGGGGTTTTTCGCGGAGCAAGTTCCGGTCCCAGCCTAAGTATTTTTTCGCGGAGAGAGGGACAGTCAATTTGACTCCTGGTATTTATTGTGGAGCGAGCCTCTGGGCCGAGGGCATGCGCGTCAATACCAAGTATCTTCCGCGGAACGGGTCTGGTGTCTTGCCCCGAGTTTCGGAGCGAGGTCTGGGGTCTCGTATCCCGTGCTCAGGGAAAATGCGTTAAAATACATCGAAAGTGGACTTGTAACTGTTCTCTCCCTTCTCTCTGCGCCTGAAAGGCAAAAATGCACCAAGTCCCCCTCAAAAACGGACTTGTCATTCTTGGCCGAGCCTCTGTGGTTTGGGTGAGAAATTTGCCTCCGACGTGACCGTCTTACACTTCTTATGTTGTGTTTGCTTACTTGAGCGTGCAATCATTATCATTGAACCTACCTCCGTTGACAGCTTCGCAGGTCTCTTTCAAACCACCGCGGGTCCTCGGGCATCTCGGGGTTGAATCCCAAAAATCGGACGCAATTTCACTCACTACTTTATGTGAATCAAATGCGCGAAGTTGCCACTCACCTTGAACATAACACGCCTTATTCAACGATGCATATCTAACGGTGTTTCATTGTAACGGGCGTTTGCGCAACCCATGCTGAGCCAAGGCATCCAGAACCTAGAATATCCATTACATGGACATTCGGGTACATTCACAGCGGGCCCTCCCTACAAGGCAGTGGCCATGGCTTTTAACTCTACCAGGGCACTCAATTCAACAACCTCGGCGTATATTGAGCATGGAACCCACTCGAACGCACTCTTCGATATACCTAGCATTGCATCGAACACATTGCTTGCTTGCCAGTGAGTCAGTGGCAGTGGATGAGCAAAAGCTTCCCAAACGGGATGCTAGAATGAGTGGCCATTTTGGGAAGCTTACATCAGCCCCACCGGCATTGCTCGCGTTTCGGTGGTATCGACGAAGTCTTGCTCCTAAAGTCCTACCCAAGTCTCCACGGGTTGGAGTGGCAAGACCGAAGGATCCCTAAATCGTCTGTAGACTGTTGGATAAAATTAGCAGACTTCCGGAATGAGATGCAAATTGCGGGACAATAATCGATTCGGCTCGAGGAGGTTACAGATGAGAGCACAAATAATAGATTGCAAAGGTATCGAATACATGAGGTGGTACACGACGCACTCCACCCTTCCCCGCTCCACCGAAAAGCACGCGCTTCACCCCCGCCCATACCGCCCCATCCAGAACGCCGACGACGAGATGAAAGGAAAGGGAAAAACGGGTGACAAGGAGGAAGGGGAAACGGAGAAAAGGAAGAGACTCGCCCATCCCCCAAACAATAGCCCCCCCCGATCCCCTCAATCATACCCCCACTCTCCCCACCCTCGCAGCCGGGGCGCCGTCTTCTTCGCGAAGATATCCTTGGCTTCAGCAGCGGCGCCGTCGTCAGCCCCAGGGCCCACGCGTGCGGGAGGACGCACAGGACGGAGGTGCGGGTGGCGGATGGTGCGGAGGAGGAGGGAGACTGGGGAAGGAAGAAAGAAAGGAGAAACGGTGAAGGATTAGCGCGGCGGAGTGTGCACGAAGGAGGGAAGGGGGACGAAGGAAGGAGCGGAAGGATCGGGGCGATGGCAATCGGCGAGGGCAGCTGAGCGAAAGGGGAAGGGAAGAGTGAGAAGACAAGGAAGGCGACAGGGAGAAGGCGACACAGCATCGAGGCGAAGGACAGCAATTGAAGATGGAGGGGTAGGAGGCAGCGAGCCAAAGGGAAGGAGGGAAGCGGGAGAGGGGGAGGGAAGCAACGCAGAGGAGGAACGCAGAAAGAACGAGGGCTAGCGAGGAAGGAGCACACTATCCCCAGACACAAAAGGGTGGGACGCTGTGAGGTGTGTTAGTAAAAGTCGTCGCCCCCTGCGCGCTATTACTGAAAGCCGATGCCAAGCCCGGGGCGGCGGCTGCAGCGACGGAGGAGAGGGTGAGGGAGAAGGAGGCCGTGCCCGGGGGTGCGGTGCGCCTGCCGCGCAGGTACGCGTAGTAGCGGAGTTCCTGCGTCGAAGCGAGATTAGCAAGCACAACTGGTGGCAACGGACGTAGCAGGAAAGTGGCAAGAGACGGGAGGAAAGAGATCGACGAGAGAAAGAAAATATACCTCATGACTCCAATGCACATACTCCCCCGCCGCCGCAATACTCACAACCACCTCGCGCTCCGTGGTCCCCGCCCCCGGGACCACCACAGGCTACGCGAACATCTGCGGCAGCGGCGGACGCGCCGGGTCCGTGATCGCCGCTGCAGTACTTGTACTCGCCGTTGCCGAGGGAACGTTGCCGCCGCCGAAGAGGGAGCTGGGTGCGGTTGGGGCGGCGGGTGTCGCGGATGTGCTGGCGACACCGGGAAACGGCGCGGGGACGAAGAGCGGGGGAGCTGTTGCGCTGCGCGCATGGCGGGATCGCCGGGGTATGGCGGAGACGGTGTGGTGGGAAGGAGGTGAGGTAGTCGGCGATGCGGACTTCCTGTAACGTCGATTATTCAGTCATCTTGAGACGAAGAAGGACAGAGAAAAGTGGACCTGGAGAGACATGCATGTGTCGGTCGGGGGCGCTGGCGCGGACGAGAATAACGACATAGGCGACTCCGAGAGCGTTGGGCAAGCGCGAGAACAAGGGATTGTCACGCACACGTGCTCCGTGACGTCGGTGACTCACCGGTCCGGCACCGCGTCAAAGACCATTAATATTTACTAGTACTTACTTTCAGTCACTCGTGGCTCACCACGAAACGAGCGATGAACAAGCCACTTGGAAGGCAGAAACGGCTGTTTAACATGGGAGAAAATTACCTCAGTTCAAACAGTCGTTCGTTTTGCGCAAGTTCCCCTGGATAATATTTTGCTGGCTATTATTCCCCGAAGCTGCGACTGAACGCGGCACTTTTAGTAAGTCAAGCCTCTGTCACAGAAATACTGGCGTCGGTATGATGGCACAGCAGGTAGTGCACCAGCTCTCACTGGATAGTCTGGAGGGGTTTAAGTTGGAGGCCCTCGTTCGACTCGGGGTCAGGCCGTTTCAGGTTCGACGTTTCATTTTTTGCCCTCACTTTTTGCCCTCACTTTTTATACACCCACACTCACTTCTCGTACCGTCTCCGCTACGCATTGCGCAATATCCGAGCAACAATCGCTGCTCAGCCCAAAGCTTTAAGCTTACGAGTCCGAAGAGCGCGCAAATTAAACACCGAGAGCCTCCAAGGGGAATTCTACAAGGCACCGCACCCCCCCAAAAAAACAAAAGAAATCTGCACAAAAAATTCATGGTTCAGTCCCGAGTCGAGCGGGTATTTTGCACAAGCGATGTGGATGAAGGAACAGATGCGCGCCGCGCGCAACCGAGCCTTGCTTGAGTCTTTGGACTTGTCGATCGAATCAACCAAACGTTTGATTGGAGTTGACGACAAGGGGAAGGAGTAGACAAGACGAGGATCCTGGCATAGAACAGGAGGATAATCCAGAATATCTATTGGAAACCCCTCCACACAAATGAAACGACATGAGCGCAAAGAACAAGCTCAAATTCTCGATGGCTCAGTCCCGGGTCGAGCAGTGGTCGCCAGCCTGAGGTCTAATCCATTATTACTGTCACGGTCGTATTTGACTCTGTACCGCGTACCACAGAGCCTTGCATTAGCGTTGTCGTACGTGATGAATCTGTTCTTGAGACCTGGTAACAGTTCAATCCGTCAGAACGAGGGCAAAACAACTTGACAAATCTCATACTAACCGGCCCAGCGGAGCCAACCAGGAAACTGGGGAATGGGAGAGGCGCACAAAGCACCACGGGCCGTTTTTAGGGGAGGGAGGCGGAAGAAGGAAGGGGAATTGCGCGGTGAAGGGAGGGAGCGGAGGCACGGAAGAAGGTGGCAATGTGGTAAACGGGAGGGGTAAAAGAGCAAAGCAACGCTAAAGAGCGCGCGAGGTGAAAAGGGAGGGAATAGTAAAGGAGGGAAGGACACGTCGCGCAACAGCGTGCGCAACACATAGAGGCTCGAGAGGATACACTGCCCGAGCGCGAGCAGCATGAACACCGGGTGCGGGGTGTATGGGTGTTTTGTGCGTCCACACAACATTATCAGCCTTTCTTGATATTTACTCTGTTGGAGAAGCAAAAGACACGGACCTTGACTTGATAAACACGGGCAGCGCGGGGTCGAGCGCGGCGTGCACCGCGAGCGTCACGAGAGCGGATGGGGGCGAGGGCGCGCTGGTGCGGGTTACTGTGAAGAAAAACGGGGAATTAAGTAAGATTTATGCAAAGGAGACGAAGAAGAAGGATTGAAAACGGCTGAATGCGTAGGATGGAATAATGCGTCCTTCAAGGCCAGAATCCCGGCGCTAACTTGGCTGGGAACACCCGGATAATCTCTGGAATGCGGACAATCTGGATGTAGTCCGTTTGAATCGCGTTAGGACCCAAGTTGCGTTCAAGTGGGATGGCAAGTCGGGCACAAGATCCCCACTTGACATCCTACTGATTTTATATTCTGATTCGGCTTCCAACGCGAGCCCAAATGGGAAGCCAGGTTGGTCTTTGAAACACTCAAAAGAAATAAGGCTAAAGGAAAACACGCACCCGTCTACCACGCCTTCCTAACCACCACGACCGGCAGCACGCCTCCACCCATCCACAACACCGCTCCAGCACCCAGCAGACGCGTCAGCCCAAAACCGCCCACGTACACTAGACACAAAGCAGCAGAAGCAAGCGCAAGGAGGAAAGTGTACGGGAAAATTCGACCAGTGAGACGCGCGAAGAACAGCTTTGGCAAGCGGCTCGGACAGGTGCGCCGCGGGCGGAACGAGCGGTGCTGCGCTGCTGCGGAGAGGGGTGGTTATTGCGCGTATAGGCGTTGGAGCTCCTGCAGCAGAGGCGCGCGACATTAATATTGGCACGCGACGCGCGTGGAAGGGAGGAGGATCGGATTTTGGCCGTGTTTGGCAAAGGCTTTGATGCATGCCCAAATTCAGGGCAGGGGCGGTGCACCCTCTTTCTCTCTTCGGCTTCCGTAGCCTTCCCAGCCTTCCTGAGTCCTCACTCGCCATTGCAAACGCGCCCGATCCTGGCCAACCACGCTGTTTGTTCGCCCACTCGTCTCACCCACCGTCAGCGCATTGAGTCAGGGCGAGTCAATGCCGTTCGCGCCTCTCGCTCAAGCGCCGTGTAACCCGCCACGGCGGCGGTGATTCGTGTCCTGCGAGCAAGCCAGCGTCACAATTGGATCCCCTTCTCTCTACCCTGGCCCTCTGCGCGCTACACACTGCACCTCGTCCACGCCATATGCTTCCGTCTTCCTCGCACAACGCTCCTGACGCCGAGTCCTCCTCCCAACAACCACCCTATCGTCCAGACTCCCCTACCTACTTCAAGTTACGTACTTATGTTTATCATGCTTCTCAGCATTCCATGTACTTCCACACGTAGACTTGTATGAAACTACCTTTCCTTCTGTTACTTGGAACCTATTCGAATCAGCATAACGGCGCCAATACCCTCAAAACGTCTACCTCTCGAAAGTCTGACTTGCGACTCGCGCGCTCTTCGGGTCCAAAGGATTCAAGATGAGACTAGAACCAGACTGAAGATGCCCGGTACAATCCAAGTGAGGGCGCAGATAGTATGTACCACGAAGATACCCGTTAACCAGGCAAGTACAAAGCGCCGTCCAGATGATTCTGCAATGATAACCCACTCACAAACTGGAGCTCGGATCGTCCCTACTTACTTCTACCAAATAACGAACCAACGCACGTACGGACGACAATATTTGAAGGAGAGAGCCAACTGCAACCCCAACCTCCAAGTGTCCTGCAAGACTGCGTGCAAGGATTTCCCTCCGCCCCGCTTGCAGGGTGAGTTCGATAAGCCCAGTAAAATCTTAATACCGTGACCCCGACTCGGACGTCGACTTCGGCTCAACCACGGCTCTGCTTAACCACGACTCTAATTGAACACGTACGTACATACCCCCAACCTTGAGCAATAAGTTCTCACACAAAAACACTTCGGATCCGCATCCAGATTCGCGCGCGTCAGAGCGTCGCACAACCCTCAACCCTCAAACTGTTGGTCAGTCTTGGTTTCCTTCGTCAGTACCGATATTCTTGGGTCACATAGTTTTACCCGCTCGTGTTCTCGGCGTTCGTCCAATTCCTCTTCATCTACCCACTGACTCCCTTAACTCATCACAGTCATTATTCTCCGGGTATCCTTGTTGCATAGTATGGCTTCGATTTTTGGTTCCCTTCCGATACTACTCACTCTTGTTCCAATCTCCCAGTCCATGTTCTGTCGAACATGATTTCTTCAACATGCTCAAGACGAGTGATCTCGGAGATCATTAGCCTCAATTCCCAAGCATCCTTGCCATATCTTCATATGCGTGTTTTCATCGAGTTATCTCCATCCTTCTTTCCCCTGCTGATATCGAACATTCAAGATTCGTCCTGCCGCTGCCTATCAGTCCAAAAAGCAGTGGCTCAATCCAGAGTTGAATCCGCAGTGTGCGTACTTGGATGGCTTTTCCTTGCAACCGATACACTCGTAATTGCGACCCATTCGAAAGCGGGTTGCTCTTTTGTAGTTTCAACTTCAACTCCAAGTGCGTTCATCTCTAACTTGGTGGGGAAATCCGACTGCGGCCAGTCCCTGTTTCAATTTTGGGTCGAATTTGATCCGTGCGCTTGGCCTGTCTTGAATCGTATCACCCTAGCTGATATACGACGCCACGGATTGGGGTTGTTGTAAAACTTCTGGTGCACGCTTCCATTCTTAAATTTCCGACTTCAAGGCTTGTATGCCCTCAGGTTTAAAACTTCAAAGTTCCGGGTTACTGGGTCACATTTTGGTTAGATTTATCACTATTGGAGCGAAGCAAGTGTTGGCTGCTTTGGTTGGACTGCAAGTGCGTGCTTAATAAATTTGTCTCCATTGCATCCTTACTGACATGGATTTTCACCTGACAGACTCTCAAAAGTAGGGCGAGTTGCTGGTTCAATTTCTCGGGGTATGTCTTGGCCTTATCTTCATTTCCACCCTTCTGGACTAATTCTTCTGTTGACAGGCCCTCAGTTGCAACGCCTGCAAAACTGGGTATGTTGCTTCTGTCGACCTTTCAAATGCTGTGTTAAGCGTCACGATCCTTTGCTGACTCCCACTCGACCAACACCTCCGCCGCGGCATCTTTCACCTTCACTTGAGTCGGCTGTCGATCTTCGACACAGCAACCTGGGTGCATGCGCACTCATTGAGCCATTTTCCACTTAGCTGAGCTATTCAGCTCATTCCAGGCCCCAACCGCTCGGGCATCTCGGCCTGGTCTGGACCTCAATATATGCGTGTTTTTGGCCAGATATTCTTCGTTCGGCTAGTTATTATCCACAGGACAGTCAATTTTCCGAGTGATGCGCGTTCGTTGTAGGGCTCAGCTTGTCATCGCCGTAGGTCCACGCCCTGATATTTCTGCGTGTCTTGATATTACTATTTCCAGATCCTCGTTCACATCTTCAAACTACGCATTGCATCAATTGTTCAAGCCTCGTTCGCGACTATGGCATGGTCGATTTCGCGCAAAACCGGTCAACCACCTCCCCGGACCCAAATCTATCATCGTCATAGGTTAGTCCTATCCTTTTCCATAGCTTCCCCTGGTTTTAGATTGGCCCTAGCGCCGTGCTTGACCTCATCGCTGCCGCCGCCGCGCTTTCAATGTGACTTCGGGTATCTCGGCGGTCGATGTTCGGTCAAATAACACCCATGTAATATGTGTCGTTTCTCAACGCGTCCATCTTCAACATGCACCTGGTCAACCACGCTATCTTTTTTTCTGTTTGCTTAAATGTTGAACTACCTTCCTTAGGCCAAGCTCTGTTCAACCATCCTGGATCTCCCAAATTGTGTGCCACGGTCATGACATTAATCCATAATCCGTTCACGCTGTTCAACGCGTCTACACTTGGCTCTCAGTTCTGCTTCGCTCCATTTTTCTCCATTTCCGATTGAGGTTTCGCAACT